AATAAGGTGTTCCTAGACACTTTTTATATGTAACTATATTTTAATAGAAAAAAAACAAATAATGATGTTAATAGAAGGTCAGTGTTCACCCAGCAAAATGATTTACAGATAAACGAGTATATACGATTTATATATTGGAATAGCAGTAACCAGAATCAATTTTCCGAAGCTAATTTCACTATTCAGAATAGCGAGCGAGCGGGTATCTATCGGTCACAGTTTTTATATGGAGGAAACTAAATATGCACCGCTCGTTTCCCAGTCATTGTTCTTTCACCTCTGCTTTTTGGTATGTACATTTTTAATATTACTCATTTTATATTTTAGATATTCGCGTAAATATAAAAAATAATCAAAATTTTAGATATTTACGCTTTGCTAATGACTACTAACACTAAAAATGGACCTAAGTTAATTAAAATTAGTAAATCAGCAAGTCCTACCCCAAGGTATTTTAATGGAATCAAGGATTGATATTTTTAATATAGGTAGTGTGCCCAATTTGTCCGTGAGTATGGGAAAAGTTCACGAAATCATCAAAAACTTTGGAAATATTTGCTGGATTCAGCAAATTCACTCTAAGGTCTTTCGTCCACAACACTGCGCAAATCTCCGATACCCGACGATTTTGATCTCTAACCCCCTCATTGAGAAACAAAAACTATAGCTTAGTCTTTAGGATTAGGTACTCCATGTTTTGTCTCGGTTCATTGAATGACAAATGGCATTTGAGTGCTATGGACAAAACACGGTGTAACTAGCCTTAGCGTATTCCTCGTTTATTAATATGGGGGTAAGTGACTTCAACAATACAAATTCATAGATGGTCGTACACAGGCACGCATCGCCGGCATTATGTTCATTCGTCGCCGACACAAATCGCGCGCTACCTGCCAGCCGAGTTCTTCGCTACAAATTAATGTCGCTGCGATTTCCATGATGGCGGATCAATCGTGGTATTGAATAACATCCAACGGGTGAAAAACTTCTTTGTTTATATAATTACAAGTTGTAAGAGTATTCTCGAATGCATATTATAGAAAAAGCTTGGGTAGCAGTAGGAAAGGTCGTTAATTTAACAGGTTGGTATCTTAAGCATAGGTAGTGACTTATTAATGTAGAAACATTTTTTAAGTAGGCAGGTACTTACTATTTTTTTGCTATAATGGTTATTAGTTTAATAAAACCCGTGGTCCCCCTATCCCTACATTTGTAGATTAAACGTTTTGCGATATAATGTCAAGTGTACACAGATATTCGCGACATAAGTTTTCAACATTATTATCGATGATTTGTGTAGTGTTGCGTGCGAAGGGGATAAGTTCAATTATTCCTATAAAGGACACATCACTAACTACGACCATTGCATTGCCCTATATTTTCATCTACGGTTCTATTAAGATACATAATCCAGACTAAACAAACCTGCTTGCTACTAATGAAAACGGGATGAACTTCGAAAGTGTTGATTACAGATCAATTTTTCGGGTCCGTATCCGGATGCGAAGTGCGGTGACCTCGGCAGATGAAACTTCGCAAATTGGAATAGTTTTGTTCGTACTTCTCTCTGGCATCCGTCTCCATGGGTAGTTACGAGGGGTTGGGTAAAGCAGGGGGGGAGGACAGTCTTGCTTATTACCAGATCTACTTTCCTGTCAATGATCTTACTATTTCAGAGAAAGTAGATTCGTAATTGTTTCAAAGATACGTTACGTTATATATAATTTTGACAATGACAACGTAATTGAATGACAGGCAGTGAAGTAGGTAGGTTGTTTATTGGCCCGAACATGTTATTTCCAATTCTTAGATGTAAATGAAATTTTTTGAGTGGTTGTGTTTATTTGAAAGGGGTGGTGACAAGGATCCCTCCTGAGGGCAATCTGTTACCATCCTTACTTAAATTATGACTCCTGAAAATTACTTTTTACGTCGGTCTCCTAGGTTTTGTCTGTATGTAACACGTTTTGTAGCAAGATTCCATACAAAAATATTAACAATGCAAGCTTGTTTGTATACGGTTTCATCTGCGGGCACCGTAGTGCCCCCGCCAAGACGAGCCAAGCAAGCAAATTATTTACAATTAAGTGCACTACATCTCACAAAAAATTGTAATCTGCCAGAGACTCACTATCACCCTTCATGCAAGTTTGAACCGTGTCCTTTACATTACTGTACAAACGTTACTACGAGAACGACTGTATAATAAAAAAGTAATGAACAGTAGATGTGAATGTCGGATAAAGACAGTGCGAGTAATATGGTGTCGTCTTGGCAACATTTTACATGAAAATGTTTTTGCTGGGATTCAAGTTAACTGATAATTACAGTGATGTATTTCGGTGCCAATATGTTTTAATTATAGAAAATTTCATTTTGTTATTAGTACTATTAAATAGTAGTTCTTCCCAATATATCTATCTTCTTCTATAATATAAAAATGAATCGCTGAATGTGTTGCTAAGTGCAAATCTCGAGAACAGCTGAACCGATTTCGATAATTCTTTTTTTAGAATATTCCTTGAAGTATGGGGATGGTTCTTACGCGGAAAAATTATAAAAATAGTCTGAAAAAGTCCAAAAAGAGCACTTTTCTATACTCCCATACAAACGATTCGTAAGAATACTTAAAAGGCAATTTGAACTTTAATACCATACCATAAATTTCAAATGTTAGTGGAGAGATTCCGGGAAGGCAAAACAATTGAGTGACGTAATGTCAATAGAAGTTTGGAAAAGGCAAATACACCATTTTCAGTTTTTTTTATAATTATATGAAGAGTCATTTTAGTCTACACTACAGCTCTACACCTTAGCGAAGCGAGGGCGGGCCACTAGTCTATATATAGAAATCAATTGTTGTTCGTTAGTCTCGCTAAAACTCGAGTACGGCTGAACGGATTTATCATGTCTTGAAATGTTCGTGGAGGTCTAGGGAAGGTTTAAAACGTGAGAAAAAATCGAATTCTACACTACAGCTATACACCGAGGCGAAGCGAGGGCGGGTCACTAGTTTTTAATAAATTAATATGACTATTGTTGACGGATATCAAACTATCAATGCCATAAAACGTGTCTGATGCTAATAGCAAAACATCAAAAAAGGACATAATGTTGTTTTCACATAAAGATAAGCTAGGGCACAAACTTGGTTTATCACTTCAATTCACGCGGCTGTAACGACTTTTTTCTGTGTGTGTATCTAACTCTCTCTTCCGCGCGATTTTACAACCTTTATAAATTTTAAATGAATGAGAACAGTAAAATGTGGAATGGAGTGAATTTTTTAAAGAGACCTCAACCCTGTTCGATTTTTGTGTACTATACCTATAAATACTAACCCTACTTAGTTGTAAAAACTATGTTGGTATATATCGTAGGATGATTAGACAAATCGATTACTTTAGTTGCGGTTTTTGCGAAAAAGCGGAAAATCTAATCTAACCTAATGTAATTTCAAAAACCTAAAAATATTTTTAATTCAAAAAGCCAACGATTATTTTCGCAATCTTCCTGAGGCAGTTATCTCAAAAATCCTATATTTTTCATTAAGATTAAGAAATTTTATCGCAATTCTCTAATTATCCGTGTTTTCGTAAAATCCCTAGGACTTTTGCGAAAATTCAATTTTTCAAATCATCCTACGACATATATAATATGTACAATGGGGCGATCGGTTTTATAGTCCAGACATAGCTTCGAGGCGAACTTTATATAATACTCATGAACCCCGAAAAGAATATGTTGCTTTTCATGTTCATGAGTATTTAACGGGGTTCATGAGTATTAAATAAAGTTTCACTGATCCTAACGGTTGCACTCAGGAATGCCAATTAAATCAAATGCTTCATTAGATGTCGTAGTTTTGTGTCCATTGTTCGAAAGCAATTCTGACCGGTCGTTGACCTATCAGCAACAAACTGCTTGATAAAATAATAATCATATTGGGTCATAAATTATCCTCTTAACCTAAAAACTTTATTGGTTAAAAAAAGTATATTTTTGCAATGTTCTATGGAGAACTAAAAGAAAAAGTAGTTGCGTTATATGTATAGAGGCTTTATATTTTTACGAGGCTTACTTTGTAGCAGCCATCTATAAAAGATATTGAGTATAGCTTCATCATCATAAGCTTATTAATGCCCTCACTGTTGGGGCATAGGCCTCTCCTATATATGGAATAGGGAGACTAGGCCGTGACCCACGCGAGTCCAGTGCGGCTTGGTGATTCTATCGACTGCAGATGCAGCTGGGACCTATTACTTACTTTTCTGAAACTTGTTGCTGCAGTCAAAGTGTTATATGGGGTGGGTCTTATATTTTTTAAAAAGACAGGTATGCTTACAATTAACAGCCACTAAGTGAGGAAACTTCGAAATCGCTGCCAATGTTAATATAATTATCTACATATTATTAAATTGGTATCGCAACAATGTGACACATGGTTAAAAAATAGCTTTCTTTGAAATCTACTATTGGATATCCATTAACAGTTTAAACCAATTCAAACGAGTACGATTAAACTTACACTCCCTTATTAATAAACAAGGAATAGGCTTAGACTAATAACGCCGTTTTTTGTTCATTTAATCCAAGCTTAGTCTTCGTTAATTAGAAACAAACAGTGTCAGAAAGCTAAATAAATAAATATTTCCAACACTCACACCAATTAGCCTAGACCCAAAGTAAGCACTGTAAGGCTTGTGTTATGGGATACTAGGGTAACGGATAGAATACATATATTGTACATATATAAGTATATTTTTATAGAAATACATATTTAACATCCATGACTGGAGTACAAATGGTCGTATTCATCACACAAACACCTGCCCCCATCGGGATTCGAACCCGGGACCTCTCAAGTTGGCGACACCATGAAACCCGGCGTACTAACCTTTCGGCCACGGAGGTCGTCAATTTAACTTTGAGTCTTTATCGCCGTACTATGTACACTGCTTGCTGTTACTTGGAATTTTAACCCCATTTTCCATTCCCAGTTATGTGGTGCTCATTAGGGGAGAAAACCGACAAGTACCGTCCGTTCAAACGAAAACGCTCGAAACGTTCGCCAGGTGAGTGTTTTCTTAGCTTTTCGTTGTAAATGTGTTTCATGTGTTTGGCTCTTTAAGGGCTTCTCATTCGTGTTTTTCATTTGTTTTTTTTTCTTCGGCTAAACTGCTAAAACATCGTTCCAATTTACTAAGGACACGCTGTTTGTAAAATATTTTTAGGGTTCCGTACCTCAAAAGGAAAAAACGGAACCCTATAAATCACTTTGTTGGAAAGTGATCCTATAAATCACTTTGTTGTCCGTCCATCCGTCCGTCTGTCAAGACCATTTTTCTCAGTAACGCATGGAGGTATTAAACTAAAATTCATATCTAATACTCAAGTCTACTGTCCCTTGGAGCTGTGAAAAAATCAAACTTCTAAGCCAAATCAATCAAAAGATACAGTCACTTATGCCGCTAATTTCCGCAAATTTTCGGAATTTGCACAGGAATCAAAACCTACAGGGTACTTCCCGTGAACTTAGAATCTTGAAATTTGGTACGAAGTAACGTCTTTTAGTACAGATAAAGGAAAAATTGCGAAAACCGTCAATTTTTAGTTACATCATTTAATAAAATATATTTTTTAATAATTATTAAAATATACCTACAGGTTTGTACGGAACCCTCGGTGCACGAGTCAGACTCGCACTTGGCCGGTTTTTTTTACAAAAGTTAAAATACTAGAGAAAAAATAACCAATATTTGTCAAAACTTTACTCGTTACTATGTATTTGACGTGACATTAACTATAGTCGAATTTCAATATGTTTCAAACAACGCGGCCTTTGTTAGTTGAAAGAAAATATTTTTACACGTGCCAAAGTATAGACAGCCAGGTCAAGTTACCCAAAACTGTAAAATTTCTCCTACTGACATTAAAGTTGAAGCTACTTGATATATGATACGCAATCTATAGAAAACAATTACAGTGTATGGTAAGTTTATGTGTGGCTTTTTGTTTCGACAATAATTCAGTAATAATATTAAATTAAAATAATGGCGCAATTACACTTGGTCGGTAGCCCGAATGCGAGTGCAAATGGAATTCGGGTAAACGACTAAGTGTAAATGAACGAGTACGCCCGTATTCGAGTAAATTTCCTTTTGTTTACCCGACACCGTCTTCCAGCCCGTATTTCAGTGTAAATATAATGCTTCGGGTGCCCGAATTCGAGTAATGTGTTTTGTGCACCCGAATACGGGCTAACGACCAACTGTAATTGCAGCATAACGTTTCAAAATAAATAAAAGATATAAAGTTCATAAGCAATAGGGATGATGACTAACTTATTTTTCTTCGTGTATCATAGATGAGGAGCTGGCGAACAAAATGATAATTACGCATCTGTTCAAACTGCTTTTTTTACAGTCTGGAGGTTTCGGGCCCGTTTAATTTGAATCTCAAATAAATTTCGCCTAAAACAGTGTTAAAATTTAGTTTAAACGGTATAAATTAGAAACCATGCCAAAAGCTCACTGGAAGTATGTCATTCAGTTTTATACAGCTCCTGTAAAATTAAATTTCATGTATTTATACCGTGTTATTCGCCAGCTCTTCAGATATAAAACAAGTATTGGACAATATTTTTTATACAAATGATCACATTATTATAGAGATCTAAAGTGATTTTAAAAATCGCTTTTTTTGGTTGATTGAGAAAAGAAAAAAATAATGCCGCATAGATATAAAATACGGCAACATGTGTTTGAAACAATGTGTCATCATCACCTTTCTTCATAAACAATTTCTAGATTGTATACGGAGGTGATGCAACATTGTCAAATACTGTTTATAAACAGTGTTTATACACAAATGTTGCCTCATGAATACGCAGCTTTAGCGTCCATTATTTTTCGATAATCTAACTGACGAATTAAATAGAATTTCGGTTTCTTTACTCTGTCATCATCGTTTAACTTATTTGTCGTGGTTTGTTTATCATAACTCTAAGCTCTGAGCGTTACCTTTAATGCTGTGCGATTTCCTCAGATTCTCGACCGGAGTTGGTGTACACATTTATTGAGCAAGCAGTCCAGCCCGGCGCCCAAGTGGCACTCAAGTGCTCGGCAGTGGGGGAGCCCCCTCCACGACTGAGGTGGCTACTGGATGACCAACCTATACCTAGTCATCATGGGTGAGTCACGTAGTTAACAAAGATACATACATAGCACATAGCTTCTCGCATTGTATTCTTTTTGAATTTTGCAGACCTAAATACTAGATAAGTATTGACCTAAACCTAAATACTAGATACCTAAATACTAGATAAGTATTGACCTATTGACCTAACTTATGACCACACGACTGAAGTGGAACTTCTTTAGCTCCAATGATCTGAAAATTATAAACTTAACCTGAAGATTTATTGATAGAAAAAAAACACCAATCCGCGCTGGGTCGGTGTCACCCTCCAATCCACACTGGGTCCATTATCACCCACCAATCCGCACTGGGTCCATTGTCACCCACCAATCCGCGCTGGGTCCCTTATTACCCTCCAATCCGCACTGGGTCCATTATCACCTGCCAAACCCACTGGATCTATTATCACCCGCCAATCCGTGCTGGGTCCGTTATTACCCACAAATCCGCGCTGGGTCCGTTATCACCCACCAAGCACTAGATTCATGTATTTTGTGACGGGTATTGACGGGTATGTTTACCGATGAGTCACCGACGAGACTAATTGTAACCCAAAAATCGTAACACATTCGCCGTTTTACCCCCTACGTCAAGGGTGCCTAAAGAAGTTTCAATTAAAAAATTGCTTTAGATAACATGTTGGAGTGTAACGATAGCATAACTGGTAATATTAACGTGCAGAGAAACGTATCTATGGGACAAGCAAGCATATTCGAAAACTGTTGTGGAATATTAAATTAGGTTATGATATTAAAAACTACTACACCCACTTAGGTGCTCGTACTCAAAATGGGAGTAAAAGAAAACAAACTCAAAATGCGTGATCTACTAAACTAAAGAGAGAGAGTAAAAACGTATCAACTGACATTCTTAAATTCAAATTCATTTTATTCAGTCTAGGCTGTTACAAGCATTTGTTAAGGTCGAGAAGCTACGCCATTCAAAAACGTTATAAATGGTGATTGGGAAAACTTCTACTGTAGTTGCAGGACAATATCTTAGACCTAACCAATGCCAAATAAGTCTTTAGATCTCGATAGGGCTGGAGCGGCGCATTGTTCTGCCGTTTCAGCTATTTTCGCGACTGAACTACATGACACTACACTAATACCTTAGGGTTTGGATAAGGTGATAAACTGCGCCTATAAAAAAATAATAAAGATTTGAAACGGAAATGTAATATTCTGTCGATTTTTTAACCATAATTATGTGTAACATTTTCAAGAAAGTAAAGACTTGAAATTTTTATTCTTTGCCTTTGCTTTCTACACACTATCGAAAAATGAAGATTTATTGTGTATTGCCGTGTCATCTATCTTGATTTGGCAATGAGGTTCCATTTTTGGCGCGATTGCTGTGGCTGCAGTTGGCTCTCTTCCACGTGAACATTTAAGATATATAATTATAGAAATATCTAAATTGGCACGACAGTTTTTTGCGTTTTGTTTTTGTTGTTGTAAAGGACATATAAGGTAAAGGGTTTTTATTGTGTAAAATAATAATATTTAATAAGTCCAGGCTTTACACGGGTCCAATATGTTAATTCTCATTAGTATATTTCGAAATTACAGAAAGCTTAAGGTTTATTGGGAAAATTAAAAGTTTTACTAATTATTTTCTAGAAGTCTCGGTTCATCGATGAAAACAAATTTAAATTGATGTTGAATACTTCGATAGTAAAGAGATGTTACAAAGTCCAAGATTACTTTAAGGATCTACATTCTTGGGATTAATAGCATTTGCCGATAAATTCTTCAATGAAGTTTGATTAATGTTAGGAAGGTAGGTAACGATGTGGTTTCATAAAAATAGTTTGGCAATTGCTTTGTTACTTGTTGCGGCTTTAAAATATCGATAAGTGCTTCAATTCTTTTATTAGCCCTTTAACACAATTAGGTACTATCAAATATACATGTCATCTTTATTTTGGGGGTTCCAAACCAAACCGAACTGATTACATCGGAACTATGTCTAGATTATTAGTTTTTACTGTCTATCTCTATGTCTATCAGTGGACTGTAAGCAATAAAAATAAAAACCTACCTAAAAGATAAAATAAATATTTAAGGGCATAATATAAATGTCAAATGTTAAATCTTGTATGATGTACAAACTTTTTCGTAGATATTGATATCCTCTATAAAACATTAGTATATCATTTTACTCTTTTGTCAATGACTTCCGCAGCATACCCGGTGTAATGTTGTTTTGGTATTTTTCCACACATTGGGTAACATTATCGAAATTTTCATACGGAACACTAACTTTTTCGATAATACTATATAGCCTATGTTCATCAGGTATAATATAAAATTCCAAATGAAAGAATTTATCAAATCGGTCCAGTAGTTTCGGAGCCTATTCAATACAAACAAACAAACAATCAAATCTTGCCTCTTTATAATATCAGTATGGATTTAGATGTTAGGTGGCTGGCCCTGCGCTAGCCGCTACCACGGCACGCTCACTTTGTTCGCTCGACTGGCGCTAAGTTTCGGTCACAACACTATCCTAACCTAAGGCACTGACCACAAATAGCTATGCTTAAATAAATTATGCATAATACAATTTTTTCAACGGTGTGTAGTAAAAATCTGCTATCTTAACAGAATGCCATTCTGAATTTGGACATTTTATTTATTTTATTCTAAATATAAACCAAAATCAATCAAAATTACAAATAAATCAAATTACAATAATTCTTACTTAATGCCAATTACGGATTAGGTATAACATAAAGAAAACTCTCTACCAAAAAAAGGCAAAATGTGTGCAATTCGCGTGCGTGGGTGTGTGTGTGTGTATTTGTCTATATGTATACATGTGTTTTTTTTGTATATTACCAATCAACCAACGACCCTAAAACTTGTTGTTTAAAAGATGCTTCGGCTAAACAAATATTCTTTCAAAGCTGCTTTTATGCTAAGTTTGTAATGAAAAATTCATTTTGGAGCAACAACATTCTACCAGATAGCAGGAAACCATGTATGACTCGCACTTAGCTGTTTTTTTAATTTTCACGCCGACAACCTTAATATATTCTACATAGATGAACGGAGATTGAGCTTTTTTAATACAGTCAATACTGTTTTAGAGTGCAAAACAAGCATTGCTTTCATTTAATATCTCTCGTAGGATGCTTACTTAAATAACTTAACACTAACTTATGCTTACTTTCTGCTTGATTGAACTTGGCACCGCAGCAGCCGCTAACGAAATATAGGACGTCGCAAACCTATTTATACCGGTTCAATGCTTTAAACCAACACAAGATATTGATCCATGAGCATTGGGTTATCTCTGCGTGTCCAAGAATCAGAATCTGCATAAAACTTTTGTTAAAATAGACGAAAGACTGAATAAAATATATTTTACTTGACTTTGATTGAAACTGGCATCTAAATACAAAGATATTTAGCGGAGTAAATCGACTGAAATATTCTATATAATATATCATACCTATATTATTATCTATTTATCTATCTTCTATCTATATATATGTGTATATAAAAATCAATTGCTCTTCGTTAGTTCGCTAAAACTCGAAAACGGCGGAAAGGATTTATTTTATCTTGGTCTTGAAATGTTATTGGAGGTCTAGGGAAGGTTTAAACGGTGAGAAAATATGGAAAAATTGAGAGGAAGATAGTGAAAACGTCAATTTAATTTTCCCATATAAACTGTTCTATCTTCTTTCCTGTCAAACATTTGACGATCGTCCCTTTTGGTATGGTAGACTCGGGTTAGGTAGCCGTCATTACTTTCAAATTATTTTAACCTGTACAAAGTCCGGGGTCAAATAGTATATAATATAAAAATCAATGCTGTTCGTTTGTCTCGCTAAAATTCGAGAACAGCTGTGCCGATTTAGCTGATTTTGGTTTTGAAATGTTTGTCGTAGTTCAGGGAAGGTATAAACGGTGAAAAAAAAGGAAAAAAACGAGGAAGATAGTAAAAACAACTTTTATTCCCCTATAAAAACTGTTACCTACTTTCCTGTCAAACATTTTAAAGTCGTCCCTTCGGTACAGTAGGCTCGGTAATAACCACATTCGATCGAAGGCGGCACGAAGTTCGCCGGGTCAGCTAGTATTTAATAAATCAAAACGACGCTTAATATTCTAGGTTCAAGGAATTCACAACGACAAGGAGTTTAGAATACCTAGCAATCTGGTTTCCCCTGATCGATAGCTGGCTAACCCCGCCATTATACTAATATTAAATTATGTACTTTTTCACTAAAATGGGGCGCAAACAAGCATGTGGCAAGCCTGATGTTATACGGCCACCATAGTCTATAGACGCTTTCGATACTAGTGACCCAAGCACGATTATTGATAGCTCCGAAATCGTATCGCATTGTCGAGGTTTCTATGAAAACTAAGCGGACGTAAGAACAAACTGGCTCCTTCCGTACAAAATTTGACGATGACTACTGTTACATGAAATAACCGAACTTAAATCGATTAGGAACGTCCCTATTGTTTAGCTCTAAGTTCGGCAGCACTAGTTGTCAAAATGAACTGACAGATGTGATGGGGATTCCCATAGAGGTATAAGAATAGAGTAGGGGAGTTATGTACTCTACTACAAGTGAAAGTGTCCGTCTAGTAGAAAGACAAAGAAGATGAGAGAAGGTTAGCTATCTCTCTCTCTCTTGGGACGCTGCGCAGTCGTGTGATTGGTCGGTATTCATCCGTAGGTTTTTCATCCAATGCGCATTCGCGATTAGAGAGAGAAAGGCTAGCCGTCTCTCATCTTCTTTCTCTTTCTACTAGACGGACACTTTTAGAGCCGCCTTCCCCACTCTATTCTTATACCTCTATGGGGATTCCACGCTTATGAGCGAGCGCGTCGCATTCCGTGGTCATTGTAATCTTGTGATGTGGTTGTGTCTATTAAATAAATTTCTGAAGTAAACCGAGTTTTATACGATTACGGATCTGTCAAAGATCGTAGTTTTTGCCTCTCAGTATCATTCGCGCCGTTGCCTAACCTGACCAAATCACCGATCCCGTGGAACCATGGAACCTCACTAAGCGACAGAATCGTAACGTTACCAAAAGTAGTGTAACTTTAGGTAATGTAGCAGTTATAAGTAGCAGTACTACAGTGATTTTATGTAATGTAGCAAGTATTTCCCCATATGCACGCACGCTTCAATCCTAATGGAAAAGTCGCATAGATTTATCCTTGGGAATTAATACAGAAAAGAACATAAGGCTATATAATCATTATACAAACATATATATTACGTAGGTATCCGCTCTCATTCCACATCCCCCCGTTTTAGAGTTAATTTATTGCAACAAAAAGTTCCTTTATCCAAAAAATCATCAAATTGTTCACACATATCATATAGACAGACTAAGCTACTGCACTTTACTTCATATTCTGCAGTAGCGTATTAAGGATGATTGACTTTGGATCTTCCAACTGACTGGCTAATTGTCATTGACTGACACCTGGTTCAGATGGATACAGGTTACTCACTAGTATGATATGTACAGGGCTTCCATTACCGAAGGCAGAGAGAGTAATCCGTCTGGTATCGGCGCTAGCAGCAACTACGTGCTGTCTACGTTGTCACTGAGCAGCGCGCGAGTTGAGCAAGGTGGCCGGTATGAATGTCGAGCGAGTAACAATCACGGGACCGTCGCTCACGCAGCGAGACTTAATGTGTACGGTAGGTGACACTCACTTACAGATTACATTTATCATCATCATTATCATAACAGCAGAGAGGCGCCCACTACTGGACATTGGCCTCTCCAAAGGAATTCAAAACCGATCGGTCTTTCACTGCTTACATCCAGTGGCTTCGTGCGACCTTCACCAGATCGTTGGTACACATTTTGTTTTTTTTTGTGAATAACTGACGAAGTTCATCGAACTAATAATTTATTTTAATTATAGTGTAAAGTAAATATAACACGCCAAATGCATATCTATAATTTTTGCCAAAACTATCTTAATTTGTTCATTTAATTACGATGCCAACATTTCGGTTCAGATTTGGTTACGGTTCAATATTATAATATTGAAATTTATGATTCGAAATTTCTTTAATTATTATATTTTTATACTTATAGTCCGATAAGCACTGTGCAACAATATTCCTTTAATTGTTGTTGAACTACTGTAACATTCGATTTTACTGAACCAGGATTGTGCTAAAATCCCTTACGAAAACTCGTGTTAGTTTTCATTATTTTTATATATTTATAATTGTATTCTTACTGATATAGTCAAACATGTACACCTATAGCTGTAAATTGATTTTATAAATATTTATAACTATTCTTCCCTCCCCTTTTGGGTTCGATACAACCACAGATATAGAGAATGTATTGAGCGGTCCTTGGCTAATAGCAAAATTAAACTGTTAATTTTGTGAAAGAGACGAAGCAATCGTGCGGCCAATAGTTCGTATAGATATTGACTTTACCTTGCTTTCTTTTTTACTAGAGACGTCAATATTATGTTTGTTTTCTTAAGGTCCTCCTTATATACGGTCTATGCCACCTGTGAAAGCTGTCGCTGGTTCGGATGTCAGAATTTGGTGTCCTTACTACGGATTCCCAGTCGAGTGAGTATTATTTGAATATTTTTAATGTTTAAAATACGTTTATGTATTGTTAGTATTAAAATTGTAAATTTTATGTGGTACAATTTTAATAGCTAGCATATTTATTCAACATAAAATTATTATTCATATAACATCCGTGCTATTTTGAAAAAAAGTCACTTTTCACGTGTGAATTAAATATAAATTTTAATGGAATTAGCCTCTTTTTAGGAGACCACAGTATACTACACTACCTTTTACTGAAGGCACATTTCTATAGATGAGTTACACTTAATATCAGTTGAGGTGGGTTAATTTGCTGTGTATAAAAATACGTTTAAAAATTCACACAGGCACTAGCATTTTTTTCCTAATGGATAAACCAGTCATCATCAGCCTATTAATGTCCCCACTGCTGGGGTACATGCCTTCCCTATGGATGAAATAGGGAGATTGGGCTATGACCCACCACGCGGGCCTAGTGCGGATTGGTTGGTGCTGACGACTGCAAATGCAGCCGGGACCAACGGCTTAACGTGCCTTCCGAAGCACGGAGAAGCTCGAGATAGTAAATTTTTGGTCACCCATCCAAAAACCGATCACTGCGAAGGTTGCTTAAATTCAACGATCGCAGCCGAACGCGCTAACCACTTGCGCCATCGAGCAGCTACGTGTCCTCGTAAACCAGTAATACTAAATAATAGTAATATAAGGTACACAGGCAAAATAGGTACACAGGTACTAGTCGTTCACCATATTTTATTCAATAAAAATGAACAGTCGAACAAAACATATCACCGCAACTATACTCGATCAAATAACTGATTGGCTCGAAGTTTTTCTCATCGTATATCATTGAGTAAGACAGTTTTGATAGAAGCGTAAATCATTCACTTTGTTTTACGTCAATTCGAGTTTTTCATTCATTAATTTTGCACGGGAACATGAAAATAACATTACTTTGAAAGTTTACGTGGCACGCATACAAAGTTGTACAATACCCGAACTTTTTCTAAGCTCGCAATTTTTATGTTGATATCAGATAACTTTTTGGCGGTTTCTAAATAAAAAGGTAATGGAAATTCTGCCTAGGCATTGTAGATTCTCTGCTTTGATATTTATAAATTTATGATATTCAAAGTGTGGGATCATTTTGTACAGTTTTGTAATAACTTCTTTAGCACCATTGTGATTTGAGATTCGATGAAACGGAAGTAGAGTATTTGACACAAGATAGCTATCCGTAATTTTGTCATGTACTATAAAAGACGGATAGCCAAGCGGTCTTAGGGTCGACGCCAACTGATCGGTGGTTCGATCCCGAGCTCGGTAATTTCTTTGAGTTATTTTAATTGTTTTTTTTTCTTCTTTTGTTAAGCTATTATTTATTTTTACAAACAATTTAAGTATACTATATTTAAATTTGTCCATCCTGTCCTGCGTGAAGGTCGGCAATAACTTTGTTACTGCGGGAAAGTCTTCTGTAGGTAGTTTCTCCAAACGGGCGCGCTCCAATTCCAGCGGATCCGCTTTATCCTTCCTCTCCGCATAGACTCTGCTGTGTCGACCATTATAAGAAACTGTCTTTTATTATATCTAAACTAGCACTCTTTATTTTCTCAATATGCCTGATGATAAGAGAAGCAATTAGTTCTCACTAAAACACGGAACACGGAAATTGATAAAATTTCTCACACATATAGTTTATTAATTGGATTGCGAAAATTTTATTTTTATCCCGGTAAAATGTTACGTTCCTCTGGGATTCTCATAAAACTTAAGTTAACGCGGACTAAATCTCGGGCAGTTCCTATATATTTCGGTTTGTGAATCCACCAGGTCAGTGAAATGGGAGGGTGGGGCAGGGAACGACCCTCGCTACCAGCAGCTGGATGGCCAGCTCACCATTACTAATGTGGATAAGAACAGGGACAGAGGATCATGGACCTGTTCCGTGCTCACTCCCGGCGGGGAACTTGCTAAGAGAGAGGTACGATTCTACAGGGTATCAGGATTCCTTATGAACTTACAGGGTATTGCGGATACCCTCGCTACCAGCGGGCAGATAGCCAGCTCTCCATCACCAACGTGGACAAGAACAGGGACAGAGGATCGTGGAACTGTTCCGTGCTCACTTCCGGCAGGGAACTTGCTAAGAGAGAGGTACAATTCTACAGGGTATCAGGATTCCTTATGTTCTTACATGGTACTGCGGATACCCTCGCTATCAGTAGGCAGATAGCCAGGTCTCCATCACCAACGTAGACAAGAACAAGGACAGAGGATCGGAGACCTGTTCTGTACTCACTCCCTGTGGGGAACTTGCTAAGAGAGAGAGGTATGATTCTACCAGGATTACCTACGATCTTTCGGGTTGTCCGGAATACAACCGGATAACCGGTTATACTACTTATTAATCAGTCGGAATAGAATGGAATAAAATTTGATACTATCTACTGTGTTTGTATATATGTATTTTCAGATGATAATACGTAAGTACAATATCATTGTAAATAACAAATACAGATAACTCATAACGGGTATGCTATACGTATAAAACTTATATAGCTGGGGTATAATTACTGATTCTACTTTTGCTAAATCGACTTTGGTACTGCAATTATATATTGAATTAGTCCAGAATAAGATTTGCGATAAAGGTCCTTCAATAATTTCAGACTCAGGCTGATTCTCGACCTGTGCTTTCTTATTTTATATTATAAATAGCGTTTATAATTCATAATAAGAAAGTTCTTTTCTCTCTACATTTACCATTTGCACTAAAATGACATTATTCTTCACTTGTTCTATTTAAAGTACGCCACATGATTTCTACCAAGGCACGACTAATCATATAATATTATGTGAGTCCACTGAAATTATGCCCACAATCATTTTATTTTCCCCTTATTTTGGATAGATTACGTTCATACTGCGCATTTTAGAGGCATTGAGAGTAATTAGTTGCCTGTTGAACTATTCCCAAAGGAATACTGCATGAGTTTCTTACAAAGAGACAAAAAAATCCTACAGAGTCGACAATACGTGTTCGATACTCCTGATGTTGTAGACGTGCATCTTTGCTCCTAGACACGCTGACCGTTTAACATCAAGCGAATCTTGAGGTTCCAAAAAATTAAAATTAAATCCATTATAAATAAGTGCAAAAATAATTGGACAAAGTCTGTATGTACCCAATGCGTTCTGGTAATTTAACTCACTGTTTGAAGACAAAACTACAGAACAGTGTTTTATATCTACATATTTTAGTAGAGTGGAGAATACTCCCTCTATTTACTAAAAATTTAGGAGGAAACCTATCCTCGGACCCCGTATCAACGACCGTTGTTTTTCAGGACATCAGGCCAGTGCCATAATATGTATGTCTTTGACTATAACGGTATCGATAATTAGGGCAAGAATATCGATGTGCTGCTCGCTTTCCACTAAAAAAATTAAATAAGCGAAAAATAACTGTGCAGAACGGAATAAAACAGTTTTATATTTCACTAAGAAAACTCCGCTAGGCTCATTATTTTTCAGTGGAAGCACCTGTATTAATTTACTTCTTCGTTGGTGTTAAGCAAAGGTGTGGCAGTACTTCGTTATTAATTTATTTAGTATAGACAAAATGAAGACATGTATTTATTAATAATGTTTGGTATTGCTGGTGAGGTTTCTCTATAATTGAGGAATCATTAATTTAGTCAGCAGACAAGTTTTCATCGAGATTTTAATAATCGACCCTAAAAAGTATACATTTTTGTGAGTGTGGTACTTTATGTATCAGAAAGAAAAGCGCAGTTTATCTAATAAGGCAAAATGGTTTTCTTCTATTATCGTTTGCCATAAATTCTTATTTATTTAGGCTACGAAGATAATGAGAAACCATATTGTCTCAGTTCGGTGAGGGTTACAATACATTCCCTTTGCGTCGGTCAGTAGGCACAGCTTTGTAACAAATGGACCGAAAAATTAGTCTCGGTCAACTGTGCAGAATGAGATATATTATATCAGTTTTGGTACCCTTGTTTTTCTTTTCAGAGAATCTTATCCACTGGGCACATGCCACTGGCATACATAACTTGAGTAATTTGAGGCAGCCAAACGAAGTGAAATGATTGTATGTATTCCTTTAGGTCCCTTTATTGAAGAATGCTTACTAGGCACAAACCAATGTCTCACATAATATCTACTGTAGTTATATATAGGGCATACACCGTATACAAGTAGCCAACGCTAATTTTATACATATTTATAAATTAAGCAGTGAACTTAAAACAAATTAATCCATCAATCAGAGCACGTATGATGAAGGATAGGGATGCACTTACTCTCACCCTCTCAGCTCATCACAATATCTTCTTTTAGAAATTCCTTATCACTGCTCTGTCTTCGTATCCAACTCCTTCTGTTCGACTCTGGAATGATCTTCCAGAAAGTGTGTGACTCTCAACTAGTAAATTTGCGACGTAGTAATTTCCATGCTTAATCCGATAGTTGACTGGAAGTCAGTTATATCGATGATAATGATGATCTCGCTCAACAGGTACTGGTCACCGTTGTGTCACCACCAGTTCTGTCCCCTGTGGTGTTTCCACCTGGGTTGAGGGCTGGAGACAGAGCTCAGCTCACTTGCAGCGTTACATCGGGAGATATGCCTGTTTATTTCTCCTGGCTTAAAGATCAGATGCCTATATCCAGCATACTTCAGGTAAGTCATCCAGTGTAATGACTTCAGTTACGAAAGCTTGAAAAAATCTTACTTTAGGGCAGACAGGCGCAGAATATGAAAGTTACGTTTTTAAATTACATAGATATAAATGTATCACAATTATACTAAATCAATTCAATCAAAGTGGAATAGTCAACATTGTTACAATTAAATTTCTTGCAGGCTTACTAACTATGGGTAGGTAATCAGCTCGTTTCCTAACCCTTGTCTATTTTGTGTCAAGTAGATATTTAGATAACTATGCGTACAAGTAAGTTTTGTATTCTATTAATTTGTTAAATTTACCAAGTGCTGCAGCGCAGTGCTTTTTTAATATGTTCTAAATTTGATTTATTTGATGCAGTGTGGAAGCTAGTCTTAAATTCGCGTCACTCTTCTTACCTAACTTATATTAAGTGATTCGGTTAGAACTACGAAATATCCGTATTATGACCTTATTAATTATAACCTTAGTATTGTAACTTTTAGATTCTCGTAACAATAAAACTATGAAATCTAACAAAGTTCTCTTTGATTGATTTAAAGGGAGGGAAATCTTTCAGTAAAATTTGGTAGTTTTATATGATAAAAGTATTTTACTTTAGGTAGAAGAGCGCGGTGCCGAGTTCTACAGCATGCTGATATTCAAATCTCTAACTGCGGCACACAGTGGAGCTTATACTTGCGTGGTCACAAACACTGCGGGAAAAGCTAATACTTCTGCTGAACTGGCAATAAAAGGTATAATCTTCCATTAGGGTAGGGTAGTGTAGTAGTGTAACATAACGAATATGTCTGCCTCTTCCTTATTTGGATAGCCAAATAAGGAAGAAACAGACAGACCATAGGGTATGTCTGTCTTGACGTGTTTTATTAGTTTTTCCTGTCGTGATCAGATGTAAAATGGTCGGGGATAATACATAGATAAATTATGTAATTATTAAGATAACATTTTGTTATATTTATTTATTGTATTTGTATACCTTAAAACAGGGGTTCCCAACGTTTTCTTGGTCAGGGACCACTTTGACATAGTTTTTTTCGGCAGGGACCACTATTTAGTTATTAATTAACTAAATTTTAGTGTAGTAAAATAAACTGTAATAATCAAACTGAAACTTTAATTCAAACTCTAATATGAATTACATAAAAAGAAATAATAACATTTTAGGATAAACTTTCGTAATTTTAAATTAATGCGATTTCTGAGCTTGCATCTTCTTCACGAGTTCGGCTATCCTAGGACTGATATTGTTACTCAGAGCCACACGTAAATCATCACTTACTTTCAAACGATTTCTCGCCTTGTTTTTTAATACCAGCAAAGCAGAAAATCCTTGTTCACATAAATAAGTGGTTGAGAAAACGATAAAATAGCGTAAGGCGATTTCTCGAAGTTTAGTATAAGAAAGTGCTTTTTTACACCAAAATGACTCAAGTGAATTCGATTCAAAAGCATCCTTGCAGTTTCTGTCATTTTGTAATTCAATGAGCTCTTCTTGGATTTCTTCTGTAACTTCACTAGCGTCCGTGCTAAAAGGGTTACGAATCATTTTTTGATCAAGATTAGCTTCTTCGTTATATTCTGGGAAGTAACGATTGAATTCATCAATCAACATATGTAAATGAGTCTTAATGTTTTCTTGAATATTTGCTGTAAAAGCGTCATACTTTTTGTCTTCCACAAGTGATTGTAATGTCGCAAACGCAGAATAATTATTTTCTTCAATTTTACGTAACCACAATTGAAGTTTGCAGATAAAAGCACGAAGTTTATCTTCAAAAATGAATATATTTGCGACATTCTCTAAGTTTTTATTTCCAGAACCTTGCAGTTGTATATTTAATTTATTTAAATGTGTGAAAATATCCACAAGATACGCCAAGTCCATCTGACATGCCAGATTAGTAAATTGTTTCAACAAATCATTATTTTTTTTGTCACCCAGAAAAATCTCAACCTCTGCTCTCAGTTCATATAATCTTCCCAGCATATTACCTTTCGATAGCCATCGAACTTCGGTATGAAAGAGAAGTGTCTCGTGATCAGAGTCCATTTCAGTGCATAACTTTTTGAAAAGTCGTGTATTTAAGGCGCTGCTTTTAATAAGATTTACAATTTTTATGGCCATTTTTAGTGTATCATTGAGGCATCCAGGAAGAGTTTTTGAAGCCAACGCCTGGCGATGTATGATACAGTGCGTTGTAATTACATTAGGATTTTTCTGTTTTACTAATGTCGCCAGCCCGGAACGTGATCCCAACATTGCTGGAGCACCATCGGTACAGAGGGCAGCGAGTTTATCCCACATAAGATTATGTTTCTCGAAAAATTCGGATATTGAGTTCATGACGTCGATACCTTTTGATGTTGTGTCCAGTTCCCGTGAAATCAATAACTCTTCTTTAATTATGTTGTCGTCGTCTAAAAAGCGAACAAATACAAGTAGTTGACAACAATTTGAAATGTCGGTCGACTCATCACACTGCAAAGCGAAAAATGGCGATTTTTTTATTCTTGACACAAGTTGCTCCTCTATATCACTTGACATAAGCTCAATTCGAGCTTTGACCGTGTTATTGGACAGAGGTATGTCTTGTATTTTTTTCTTGGCCTCTAATCCTAAAACTTCTTCGACGGCTTTGATCAAACAAGGTTTTACGAGTGTTTCTCCAACTGTGTGTGGCTTTTTAGATTGTGCTATTAATTTAGAAATCTCAAACGACGCTACTAATAACTTTTCCGATGTTGCAAATCTCGAGCCGCTAGGCCCGAGTTTCATTTTTTTAGGACCTCTAATTTTCCTTGAAAGAATTCAAGCGGGCGGTTAGATAAATCTGGATGTACCGTTTCTAAGTGGCGTTTCAATTTTGCTGGTTTCAACGCTTCATTTGCGAGAACGGTTGCGCATATAACGCACTGTGGTTTTATTTCCCCGTTACTTTCTATCGAGGTAAATCCAAATTTTATATAATTATTGTCATATTTTCTCTTAGGCGCCATGTTCTGAAAATAAGATACAAAAAAATGAAACCGAATACAAACCGAAAAAACAAAAGCGTAAGATCAAGTTCTATAATATGATCGTGCTAAGCTAGCTTACATAAAAATATTTTTGAAATAATAGCAAAGGTAGTTTTAGTTTACATTACAAAGAAATTTAGTGACCAGCAAAAGGATTCGAATACCGCGAGCCCGCGATGAATCACCAAAAATTCAAAAATTTAATTTAGTTTACGCTTCTTTGCAAAAATGAATAAATAAAAATATACTACTTTGCCATACGTACGATTCAGCAAAATGAAATAAACAAATATACATAATACATATACGTATTGATAACGTCGTTTACTTGATAACGACCCGAAAATCATCATTTTTAATACCCTGAGAAAGGTTAATCGAAATAAAATATTCACTCACCTGTATTTACGAACTATTTCAAGATATCAATTTAAGAACAACGATCAGTAATAGGTAACTAATAAATGAATGATTAACTTCCTCACACAGTTAAGTAATATTACGTGTTATTACTGACACTGAAATAGGTAAAACAAATGACGTTGTATCGTCTTCGCAGAGACGCGCGGAGGCGGCCGGCCCCGCGTACCGCGCCCCCTCCACCCGCACTCTAACGCGCTGGGCCACGTTCACAACCTAAGTGTAGTTGTTTGGTTGTTTTTTAACTCGCTCAAAGGCTCGGAACGAGGTCGGTTGTTTAACGTCAAATTGGAACATAAAAAACTTTGGAGTCAAGTCAACTGTCATCGACTGACACAAGATACTTCGAAAATATATGGAATATGACAACCGAGCCTTGAGGCTCTGAACGACCTAGAGTGCTGCGTGCACGGCGCGGCGACCGAATTTAGCGGGCGCGCCCGCTAAAGAATTCATTCGCGGACCATATTTTGGCTTCTGCGGACCACTGGTGGTCCACGGACCACTGGTTGGGAACCATTGCCTTAAAAAAAGGTGAAAATGCAGTGATACATAAAAAATTACCTACAACCTATAATGTAACACTTACCTACATTTTACAAATAAATATTCTGATTCTGATACTCTGTAGGTTACGCTGTGTCCTTGTTACACTGTCCCCGACTTGACCCTAAGGAACATTTTGTGGGACACGGTTTTGGCAAGATTTTGTACAACATAAATTGACTGACTGATAATGATTATGGTGACACATATAGTGCATAAAAGTCAAAATATTTTTATTCAAATTAGATGCAAAATACAATTCTTTTGAATCCTCCATATTTTTACCCGACTGCCAAAGAGGGAGGGTAATGTTTAGGGAGTGTATGTAAGTATGTATGTATGTCTGTTCCTTTGTGACCTCCTGTAGCCTAAACGGCTTGATGGATTTTGATGTATGAGGTATCGTTAGATTTGTCTTGATTACGGGAGTGTCATAGGATACATTTTATCCTAAAAGTCCCACGGGATAAAGACATAATAATATTTTTTCTAAATTTCCCTTTAAAAAAATATGTATGCGGTATCATTAGATTCATTTTTAGACTGTCTTAAGGTACTTAATAATTCCCGCGATATTAATTCCCTTACTGAAGTAACAAGACTACGGTATATACCGTCTTAAAATACTAACTAACTAAAAAGTGTGAAATAAAAAAGGTAAATTTAAAAAATCAAAAAACCCGACTGCTTAATTATACTTCAAATAAAAACTGAAAAGAAAAAAACAAGTCCAGTAGTCTATAATTCTGTTAATAAGGAACAAAGCTACTTTAACAGTCGGGACCCACTGTTGAAAAATATTATGTATTCTTGAATATCTAATGGGTCCCGACTGTTAAAGTAGCTTTGTTCCTTATTAACAGAATTATAGACTACTGGACTTGTTTTTTTCTTTTCAGTTTTTATTTGAAGTATAATTAAGCAGTCGGGTTTTTTGATTTTTTAAATTTACCTTTTTTATTAAGTAGGTATTATCTTTTTAAAGTTAAGGGAGGGATGTTTAAAACGCCTGCAGAGTTATTGCTGTGCTTAAAGATCCATATTAATAAAGACATTCTTGAACAGTCAGCTATCGGGGTTAAGGTACAATGAATTAACAGATAGAGAAGAAATAAGTATTTCTATCTGTATATAGCCTATCCATTACTAATCATGACAGTTCCTATTTTAGGATTAATCATTAAGGTAAGGTGTTCGTAAGCAGCGCAGCGGTGTGCGGTTTACCTAATTCAGATAATATAATTTTTAGTTCCTCCGTTTTGGCAAATCGAGCCCGCTGATGCGGCCGTGCTTCTAAATGGATCACTTACAGTGAGTTGTGAGGCGAGAGGTCATCCTACACCTGCTATCTATTGGACCAAGTTTTCTGGTGAGTGTCTTTTGCAATTGTGAATTTAATTAACATGTAAGATTGTTGTCTATAACGACCTACTTGGGATTATAACGACGTGTCTGGTTTGAAACCATTGGAAACAACTTGTGTCTATCATACTCAAGGACCCACAATTTTTTTACACGTATTATGATATGGGTAACGGACATAAACTATGAATAATATGTAATGTGTTTTTGTATATATATATATAAACAGACACGACTTAGGCACAAAGCTCGACTGTATTTTATAATAATTTTTATCTAATGGAATTCGAACTTAGGACTTCAAAAGAAACCTATATATACATATATATGTATATATTTCTGTACCACGACGGTCATCAATACTACGCTATAAACATGAATATAAATAGTTGGTTTCTTTTATATCTAAACATGATATTATCTAATGCTGTGATTCTACCTAGTGCACCGTCGGTAGACATATCTTCGGTATTTATATCTCAAAAATCAGTTGCTAAATTATTTGAACAAGTGGATATTAATAAAGGCACTGGTAGTGATAATTTTCATCCAATTTTAATTCGTAAGCTTTGTACTGAATTGTCATTGCTACAATCATTTTTTGGAAATCTCTTTCTGAAGGTAGTTTCCTGATTATATGGAAGAAAGCGTTAATGACACCAATTCCGAAGGGTGGTAACAAACACGATTTTAAACAATATAGGCAAACTGCAAAGCAAGCAAAAGTTTTTGAAAAATAGTGACTATATTTTTGTCGAGTCAATGGAAACATACCGTGACAGCAGAACAGCATGGTTTTTCCAAGGCCGAAGTGTCAATATAAATTTGGTTACTTACACTGATTTCGTGCTAAATGTTATGGATGATGAATATCAGGTAGATGCCGTGTATACCGACTTCTCGAAGGCGTTCGGCAAAATTAATCATTCTTTACTAATAAAAAAGCTTTTCGGGGTCGGTATATACATAGCGATCTGCTAAGATGGATTGAGTCCTATGTCAGAAATCGTAGTCAAGCTGTTGCACTCGCGGGTTACCGATCGAGATTCTTAAATATTCCATTTTATTTTGTCTTTATGTGAACGATATCAGCCGTTGCTTTACTAGCTCTCACCTTCTCATGTACGCTGACGATACAAAAAATTATAAAATAGTGCGAAATTCTGATGATTGTGAAAGTTTACAGAAAGATTTGAACAATTTTGAAAGTTTTTGTAAGACCAATTACTTGGTCTTAAACTTAGATAAGTGTCATGCGTCATAACCTTTACTCGTAAAAATAATGCTATCCAGTTTAATTACAGAATCTCTGATCAAAGCATAATCCGCACGAATTCTATTTGCGATTAAGGAGTAACTCTGAATTCCAAGTTACAGTTCAATTTGCATATTGACAGTATGGTAGCAAAGGCGTTTAAGCAGTTGGGGCTAATCCTACGACTAGAAAAGCCTTTCGCCAGAGGCAGTACTCTTAAGATACTTTATAACGCATACGTTCGGAGTCTATTGGAGTTTGGTAGCGTGGTCTGGATTCCTCAGTATACCGTTCACAAGGATAGAATAGAACGTGTACAACGCAAATTCATAAAATCATTAGATTATCGTGTCGGATTTTTCATAATGATTGTGAAGTGAGTGCAAAAAGACATGAAGTGCAGTCATTGGTCTGTAGACGCCAGTATTTGGATGCCATGTTTCTGTACAAGATAATTAACAATCACATTGACTCAGCCCAGCATTACAACTATGTAAATTTACGCACATCGAGTTTACATGAAATCCTGAATAGGTTAATATTTTAATATTTCTTACAAATAAATTATAAACATACCTTCATCAGCATAACCATGTAGAAGTGTATTTGATGTTCTGTCAACTTCGCAAGATATTTAGTGAAATTTCATATTTTATGTAGGTATATATATATATATATATATATATGTTTGTTTTCATTTTCTTATAAATTGTCTTAGGCAACACAGAAACAGCACTGGGTGGAGTGTCAGATCCGGTGGTATTAACGAATGGATCTTTAAGGCTGGACTCGGCTCGGGCGGAACATTCTGGAAAATATCGCTGCAGGGCCGATAATGGTGTACCACCACCACTCTCCAAAACTCTCAATATACATGTTAACGGTAAGTGAGGCATGAAAAAAATGTTAAATTTCTGAATATTTGGCTAAACTATAGTTCCAGGGCCCAAGCGACCATAACGCGCGAGCCGAGCGAGCAAAGCAAGCGTGCCGCGGCAGCGGCCGGCAAAGCACCAGAAAAAAAAAATATTAACACAGACCGTTTCTACAAAAAAAAAAACAAGTATCACCTCTTGGGCTCTGGAAGTAGTTTTACCGAATCTTGTTCTTCTGTATTTGAAGTAAAACAGACGTATGTTCAAACATCAACATGGAATGATAAAAATATTCTTACACGTGTAACTTTAATCTTTTATTAAAAATATTTTATACTTCCTTGAAACAACCTTGAAAGATATTTTAAGCAGCATTTACTATTATTTCGTTAGAAACGAATCCTAAATACATCTTGATGGTTTTTTTACTGTATGTTTAAGAACATAAGTGCTTTTATAATACACGACTATTTACCTATAACATTTAAACGGTTTTAGAGTGAATTACGGTTCTGACGATTTTCGAGTTTTTATATTTGAAAGACTGAAACATTTGTTATTTGCAAAATATTGGTAGCTTTGTAACAGATATAATTAAATAGGTAAATTATCTGAATTAAGGTAAAAATAATTCTGAAACCTTAGTTTTAATTAGGAAGTTTTATAACCTTACTGTTAAAGTAACAATGGTGTCGATTCCGTCATAATTTTCTACACCTAAAATGAAATTTGACTATAACACTATTATCATCTTTGTCTTGTCATTCTCTATGCAGAAAGAAAAGGAAAGCCTGAGGTTAAATTTAGATTTAAGTTTAGAGAATTATGCCAGAATCGACCAATATTTCTGTTAATTTGAACTTTCTGAGCTGAAATACCGCACGGTGTCCAAGTATTGCGTATGAAGTTGGGAAACCATGAAAATATATTCATTTAGTTCGAATGTCTCTCCGAATGGTTACTAAAATAAGAATACTTGAACTTTGCTCCGTCTAGACTAGGTTATTAATAAGCGCTTCTGAAACTCTAAAAGTTAGCCTATCTATTTCTGAATGTAATACAAAAGCTTTTTTCTGAAAACACTGCATGAAACAGGAAGCTTTTTTTATATTCTTATCGTTATCTATAGCGTAAGAATTTGACGCTTCGACACTGATGAATAACCATACTCACTTAAACTAGCTAGATCCTAATAATAAAAGATCTACAATATTGTACGTCTTAACTTTATTCCTAAATAATTACATATCTTAATCTAAATCTTTTTGAATATTTATGTGTCATCCGTCAGTCGTTAAGCCATGAAGTATTTTAATTTCTGATCGTATGTAAGTTTATTTTTTTAATGACGTAGTTGCAACCGCTTGAATTTCAATAACTGCGTCTAAGTCGCTTAACGTTTTCTTCTAAGGAATTTTTAATTAAATCAGAAATTTTGCTAATATCTAAGTTCGACTTTTATATTTAAACTAAGAAATCTATTGTAACCATTATAATTTTCCTTCAATGTTAATTGAAAAGCACTAGTATACACGAACAAAAATTAGCACTTTAAAGTTCAATATTTCGCAAAACTATATTATTTGTTTAGAACCTGCTCGCTTCGAATCTCCTTCAGTGAACGTGACATCTAAGCTGGGTGACACTGTAAGATTGGCTTGTGTAGCAAGAGGGGACTCCCCGTTGTCGACAACGTGGAGTCATTCGGGAAGAGCTTTACCCAATTCTGATTACAGGTAAGTAATTTGCTTTTAACACAACTATTCGAAAAGAACTGGTTTCTTCTCTGTTCACAGGGACCATAATAGCTTTTTAATCCCTAGGGACTAAAAGTGATTTGATTTAGGAATGTGGATATAGCTAGTAAAAGTTCCAATCACCAAAGAGATCAGTCACGAACATTTTATGAACAAGGTAAACCACCCGCTCGGCAAATAAAAAAAGGGGGGTGCGAAACCTATTTCCAAGTTGTCTTGTTGTTCTTGTATGTAAATAAATGAACGTATTTACTCAAATGTTGATAGTTGCATTAAATTATATTATCTTCTCATGGAGGGTAACAACAAGTGTCCAATTCGGTAGCAACACTATTTTAGAGCTCGAGGGACCCGACGTACTTTGAATCCCTTGCTGACAACTCGTTGAGATCAGGATTCAAAAAACGTTCTCGTCTTTAAATTTTTCTTTTCACCCATAAACTGGGGAAAAACAAAAGTTAACCCCAAAAAATGTTTCTAAACTCGAGGCTGCTATAAGCTAAATCAAGACCAAGTACGAAGGTCTTGGTCCTAACACGATTATTAACAAATTAAAATTTATCAACGTTTCTTTTTCAGCATTTTCTCTATTTATTTTAACGGCTGAATAGATTTCTATTCTACCTGTCTTGCTTGCCTCATTATGAAATGGGTCTGCGTCGAGACCTTATTTTACGCGCGGTGATTTTATAAGACTTAGTAAACGAGGGACAAAACTTTTGGGTCACCCGTCCATATAAAGCTCTGATTTGACATCGTACAGTTTTTTCTCTTCCCTAAAACAGGAAATCTGCTAAATTGCATTTACATCTACGACAGATGAGTAGGTCGGGGACATCGGAAAAAAGTGGCACAGACAATCGGAAAATATTCGACTAAATAAGTGCCAAAAAGAACTATTTTGTGTGTTTTTCTTTCTAATAACTTTGCCTTTTAACTTAACAAAGTTTTGTAAACTTTTTAACGGCTCATCTCTTTAATATTTTAATAGAGTCTATTTTTTAAAGACAATATTTTATAAAATCAACTCATTTTATCTAGTATGAAAACAATTTTGTTTTAGAATGAGTATATCAGAAACACGAAGTGCTGAGGGATTGAGGAGTGAATTAGTAATTGAAAGAGCAGATAGAAGAGACTCTGGAGTGTACAGATGCCAAGCTTCAAACCCATATGGAAGATCCGATCACTTCGTTCATCTTGCAGTTCAAGGTAATATTTATTTTTGTGAAAAGTACGGCAAAGAAGCTTATTTCAGATAAAAGGAACTACCATTATGTCCTTACGATATCACATATTATGAAGTTCTTCTTTCAAAATTTACTTTTGATATATCGTGATCGTCGTCACCATACATGCTATTGTGATTAAGTAGTTTTTTGAACAGTAAAGTAAGGACACGATACGATTCACACAGTGGAGTTTTCAATTCATCTGATGTTGATTTCAAGAGGTCCTTACGGTATCACATATTATGAAGTCCTTCTTTCAAAATTTACTTTTGATATATCGTGATCGTCTTGACCATACATGCTATTGTGATTAAATAGTTTTCTAAACAGTAAAGTGAGGACACGATACGATTCACACAGTGGAGTTTTCAATTCATCTGATGTTGATTTCAAGAGTACGCCTTGCAGTCTCTCGACTTCTCAGATTCAGTCACTCGCAGTTTTAAGTAAATCTTTAGATAAACCTTTTTGAAGGAATCAATTGCTATTTCGAAATTGTAAATCAACTAAAAGGAACATTTCTACAGAATCTGATCTTCTCTATTCGAATAGAGCCCCCCGAGCCCCCATCCAACTTCAGAATCCGCGAAACCACGTCTCGTTCAGTGGCGCTACAGTGGCGGCGGCCTTATGACGGTAATTCGCCAGTCCTCGGCTACGTGGTGCAATACAGGAAGCATGATGCAAGCACTGTAGACTCTTGGCGGGACGCCCATACTCACAACGTGACGGTCGCGCTGCATCAAATCGACGGTTACACTGAGTACGTATGAAATATGCAGGTATAGTTTAATGACATAATTATGTGGGGCTAGTAGAGCATTGAACAACTATTCAGGGTCTATCTATATAGTTGTTATACTTTAGAATACACTCTTAGCCGTTGAATTACAGTCTATATTATGAACTTCATCATCAGCCTATTAATGTTCTCACTGCTGGGGCACAGACCTTTCCTATGGATGGAATAGGGAGATTGGGCCATGACCCACCATGACCCATCGCACGGGTCCAGTGCGGATTGGTGGATGCTAACGACTGTAAATGAAGCCGAGACCAACAGCTTTACGTGTCTTTCGAACCACGGAGGAGCTCGAGATAGTAAATTTTTGGTCACCCATCCAATGACCGCGCAACCGCCATCTGCCGCAGTTCGTGGCTCTTGCATACTGAAGAAACTGCATATCTGCTCCTAAATAACTGCTGAATCTGCGACTGCATATTTGGTTCACTCCGCACACACCAGAGTGATTAATTCATAGTGAACATTATATATCCCAGTAGTGGTATCATTATCTTAACTTATGATTATCAGCGTCTCAATCATTCGATTTATAAAAGGACTGAAGGAGCGACCATATCGGACTTGGTGACAGCGACCGCGTATTTGATGCGAGTGCGCACGGTGAGTGCGCAGTTTGCGTCCGCGCACACCAGAGCGTTACTTGCGGTGACTTGCCCGAGCTGCACGCGCCTGCTTGTGATTATGCATAGTTAATATTGTATGCCACATTATTAGTAACAATATTGTCTTAACTTATGGTCATAAGTCTGCTTATAATGAGATTGTTGTTCAATAGGACTGAAGGCGCGATTATATCGGGCTTGGAGCCAGCGACCGCGTATTTGGTGCGAGCTCGCACGGTGACTGCGCAGTTTGCCTCCGCGCACACCAGAGCGTTACTCGCGGTGACTTTGCACGAACCGCCTGCGCGGGCGCCGCTGAGTCTCCGCGCGTCTGCTCCCAGACCGTCTACCATTGAACTGGTGTGGCAGGTAAGTACCTATTTACTAAATCAGGATTTTTCTCTATTTATTCTTTTGTTTCACGACCTCCGAGGCTCGTGTGGTATGTACACCGGTTTTGAAGCTGGCGCCTACTCAGAAGTACCGGGTTCGTGTCCCGGTTGGGCAAATGTGTGTGTGATGAATACGAACATTTGTATTTCTAATCGCGGCACGCACTGATGGTTTTGACACATTACTAAAGTGATGTGAAAAGTCAATTTGCTATCGAAAAAATACTAATATAATGCGAGTCACATCTAGGTATTAAAAAATTAGATTTTTTACAAGAATATTGCAAGAAGCAGCTGATAAGATGATTGAATAACTAGAAAAAATAAATGTTTTCTTACGCTCAGCGATCCTATAAGTAAGTAGCAATTTTATTTAATTTCATGTTTTTTACATTTTAAATCACAAAAAATATGAATGTCGAGTTATGTGGCTATTAAGTATAGTATAATTCATTTTAATTATTATTTTTATGATATAATAGTTCTTTGTCATAAAAACAATAAAACGATTAATTACTTTTTAATTCTTAGATTCTGTCAATAATTCGGTGTTTTTGAGTAAAGACTGATATTATATGTATTGTTTTAAACTTGAAATGGTTCTCGAAACCACAATATAAGTTAGACCACAATACAATTAAACTGGGCGCTAGGGGTGTAGCTTATGATAATAAAAATCAATAAATTATTTCTTCCTAATTTAGAACTGTTTTCGAATTCAGAATATGACACTTTATGGAAGCACAAACGTCAAAACGGCCATCATAGCTTGCCGCTACTAGAAGTCATGGATAATAAGCTACATAGTTATTTTAATATTGCTTAAACTTACTTTTGAGAAAAATCTTATAAAAAAATACTAATTAACACTAGGCGAAACTAAAGTTAATAGGAATATAATCGCGGGCGGAAGTTGGTTGTCCGTAAATAACTTCGATTAAAACAATCCCTTTTTGTTCTAGATACTAATAGATACGGTACGCTCATACTAGCATCAAATGCGCACATTTCTGTAAATAAACATTCATTAGAGCGAGCGAGACAGAACAGTAAGCTTCAACGCAGCACGAGCAAAAAGGCGAGTCCACGTCGCTTAGCTAGGCGACTGCGTTTTCTTTTCTCTCTCTACAAACGGCTGAGCTGTATTGTTGTCCTTTTCTTGATAACAAATAACATGATTTTTGAAAAGAAAAATATTTTTTCATAGTTTTACAAATGAAAAGTGTTGCCGTGAAATTTGTTATTTGATCTTGAATTACTTTTGTTTTTTTATAAAAGCATTGAAGGCATTGTTTTATCTTTATAAATAACAAAGAATATACGCAATATTGTTATATTCAGTGCACATGCAGCGTGTTTCATTTTCCAACTGTGACTAAAGCGAATTGTGGTCATGCACCACAATTTAAGCGGATCATTTTTGAGCCGCGTTGCTTTAACTTCCCTTTTTGTTTTAATCTAAGATAAATAGGTACTTTTTATAAAACTTTTGGCAGACCTTGAATAAATTAGATCAGTCTTTCAATATTTTAATGATTTTTTGGAGTTTACTCCTTAAGAATCGATTTGCATGTATAAGGGGCCCGGTATGAGAAAAATGTGAGAACCTATCGATGAATGACATTAATGACCTCATTACGTTTTTGTGCGCAACCTTATCTGCGCACCTTTCACTTTTAGCCATGGCAACGGATAAAAAACATTAAGTTGTCACAAATGTCAATAAAGTAAATAAACTAAAAATAGATAAAATCGGAGCAAAATTAATGAAAACAAATAAATAACAGAATATAGAGAAATGCCGATAAATGTCCAGCACTCTGGAATAGTGATTTTCAGTTCAGATGGAATTATAATACATATTTACAAAATGATAACTAGTGTGTGATATTTTTGAAATTGGGTGTTTCCAGAAATACATAATAAAATATATGAGAATATCGCTGATGTTAGATGATAAAATGTGTGACATGGAACCTATGATAGTCGAAACCATGGGACGATTCCTGAAATATCTCTACTTGTAACCGACTTCTTTGGACTTGATTTTGTTTTGTGTCTGTTCAAAGACAAATGTTTTTAGAGTGTAAACTCCGGTCGTGCGTCGGAGCTGACGCACACAATTTTTTATTGTCTTCCATATGGGAGATCATCACTTAGTTTGAAATACGTAAAAGTTTATGTAACATACCTACACATAAAAATATGACCTAAGTAGATAAAATAAATCATGTATGGTACATACATGATTTATTTTATCTACTTAGGTAGGTACTATATTTACATTTAGGTCAATATTACATAATAAGTTTGAAAAACTTTAATAGTTTCAACTTAACCTTCTTCGTGAAACACCTATTCTTCGTAAATATATCGCTATTGATCCTGTGAAGGAGTACGTATAAATGAATCAAAAGCACCTGACACACACCAATTATTTAGTTTCAAACTAATCAAATTTTGTTATGAATACCGAAACGAACTTTTATCTAATGATAGTAGGTACAGACCTACATAATTAAGTTTCAAAACAACTATGCCTAGAAATAAACATACTACACTTCTGGACACATCTATTGGCCCACCTTAGAGTTTAGGTTTCGATGGCCCCTACCGAAATATGATTGCTAGATTGAACAAAAACTGTTGATGCAGTTTTAAACCTGATACATTTTACCATCTTTTTCGATCGTTTTGTTTTAAATTTGAATTCAGAATACCATACGACATGGAGCTACGCCTAACAAGTCGGATATGCGCCTTGTTAAAGGCAATTGATTTTTGAATAAAAAACATGTTTTATCAAATAAAGGTTTAATTTAATAACGCGTGTTGCCTCCATGGGCATCTACCACAGCTCTCATACGATTAGGCATAGAGTTCATCAACCGCTCTATAAAAATTTTGAGGGATCATCTCCCATTCCTCTTCTATGGCAGTTTTCAACTCCTGCATCGTCTGGGCAACTGGCTGACGAGCCCTAACACGTCTTTTAAGCTCGTCCCACATGTGCTCAATGGGGTTCATGTCTGGGCTTCTGGCTGGCCAGTCCATAACTGTGATGTTCACATCCCGAAGATATTCCCTGACGATGCCGGCCGCATGTGCTCTTGCATTATCATGCATAAAAAGGAAATTTGGGCCCACGTAGTCCGCGTATGGTATCACGTGAGGTTCTAAGCACTCACGAATGTACCTTTCAGCATTTAATGTTGGCAGCCGTGGTCCTGTAACAACCTCAAGAGTGAAACCATTGTTCAAAAAGGATAATAAGGCTAAAATAGACAATTATCGACCTATTACGCTGATATCTATCTTATCTAAGATCTACGAAAACGTCATGCACGCCAAACTTACTTAATTTTTGACGTGACAACGTCTTAAATTAGGTTGCGGCTGGGAGTCACTTATGAAAAAGTGTAACGCTCGGTAACGTTACGATGAGTCTCTCGTGTTAAGTTTAAGTTTACATGTACAATGTTTTAGTAAACAAAATATATTTCTATAGTTAAAATTTGTGCAATTCTTATTTTCATTCAATTCCTTGTTCCTATTGTGCAATTTAATTATATTCATATCAATAAATATTCTACCAAGAAAAAGACGTTGTCACGTAAAATCTTCGCCCGTAAAACCGACTTTACAGGCAACCATTTTTTTTGATAAATATCAGGTATTAAAGCAAAATCAGTATGGATTTTAAAAAAATAAATCTACTACTCATGCTGTTTTTGACTTAGTTAAGGAAACCATGTTAAGCCTGAATGATAATAAATACACAACAGTTGTCTTTTTTGATATGTCGAAAGCATTCGATTTTGTACGTCACGATTTACTACTGTCAAAATTGGAGCACTGTGGTATCAGAGGCGTTGCATTGAAATGGATACGTTCTTATTTGGGGAACAGAAAGCAATCGGTTGAAATCTCACAACTAGACCGAAACCAGATAGTTCAAACATATCAATCAAATTTTAGAGAGAATAATTTTGGTGTTCCACAGGGAAGTGTTTTGGGGCCGCTCTTCTTTTTGGTATACTCTAATAAGCTTCCAGAAGTAACTGAACATCGTTGCATTCTTTTTGCTGATGACATATCAGTGGTAATAACAACTGATAGTAAAATGACAATAGATGACCATATAAATGACATTGAAAAACAATTGGATTAATTATAAATTGGCTTCAACATAATAATTTAACTATTAATATTAAATAAACGTGTTACATAAATTTTAATAGTTCCGTTGGTCAGTCATTGAATATAAATTACTACGGACAAAAGCTTAAAAATGCAAATACAACCAAATTTTTAGGCATAGAAATTGATCAAAAATTAGACTGGAAAACACATGTGGATACTATATGTAATAAAATGAACCGTTTTATGTTTGCTCTCTATAAGTTGACGAAAATAGCTACAAGGAATACTGCTCTTACAGCCTATTTTGCGGATGTAGAATCAGTTTTAAGATATGGTATCGTTATATGGGGAAATAGTATAGAAGCAAAAAGGGCTTTCATTACACAAAAAAAATGTATCAGAGCTATATGTGGAACTCCGCCTGATGAACCATGCAGACCATTATTTAAACATTTAAAAATATTACCACTTCCTTGCCTATACATTTTTGATGTTGCTAAATTTGTAAGGTTAAATATGCACTATTTCAGGCAAGCTGTAGATATATATCCACGTAATACACGAAATGGTGATAGATTGGTTTCTGCAAACATTCCAAAAAGCATGAGATTCAAAAAAAATTGTTATTGGATGTGTATGCAAATTTACAATAAGTTACCAACTTATATAAAAAAATGCCTTTTAAGAAATTTAAGACTGCCTTGTACAGTTGGCTATATGATAGGATGTTTTATAGTGTTAAAGAATATTTATGTAATGATTGCAGCTAGTAACAGTAGGTTTTAGGTTCTATTATTTGTATTCTGCACTTGGTTGACATTTTTATTCTATTGT